GCTCCCTTGTTTGCAAAACAAAATTCTATTATTTGGGACAAGTGTCCACACAATGTGTGCAGATGTCCAATTCAAATACACTGTTAAGGTTCCATGTGTGAACCATGATGTGCTTGAACGGCAAGGAATGTCCAACATACCTGGTACCTTTGTTTATCAAGCAAAGTCATATCCACACTAACAATAAATTCTCACAGTGATTCAAACACAGAGGTCAAACTTCTCCACTGAGTAAAGGCGATTACTTTATGCTTTTTATCTCCCAAATATAACTATATTAACCACTGTGTGCATGCAAATATTTTTTTTTAAAAGAGAGAGATCTTTGGTACATGTGTGCATGAGTGATGTTTTGACCCAAAGAATATACAAGTACAATTCATTACAAATGTACGTAGTGGATTTGTGAAAACTTGTACTGAGACCTATACCGGGCTGACAGAGACATTATCACACCTTCTAACATCTAGGACTACGATATCTCCAGCCACGATATAGCAAGATTTAAGAGATGACTAATACATCGTCCTGTTGAAAATTTCTATTCCTTTTAAATCTTTCAATTTTTAATTAATACTTTACTTTTTTAATCATTAATTTCTGTCGCTTTTCATTTGAGTCTACTTGAAACAAGCCTCCATAGTGAAACTTTTCTCATTTAAAAAAAAAATCTCCCTTTCTTTTCATGAATTTTGCATTCGAATATTCAAATTTGGAAAAAAATATTCCAATATTCGATAATCAATCAAATATTGGGATATTCAGCATAGCCCTTTATGTACCGGTACATGTAGAGTATGTCATACCAAAAAGTTTGGTTTCATTGTCTGTTTAAAAGAACTTGCTGGTACCTTTGTTTTTCAAGCAAAGTCATATCCACACAAACAATAAATTCTCAAAGTGATTCAAACACAGAGGTCAAACTTCTCCACTGAGTGGATTTGTGAAGACTTGTAGTGAAACCTGTACCCGGCTGACAGAGACATTATCACACCTTTTGGGCAGATTACCTATTCAGTAGCAGAGGAAACTGGCAACTTTCACATACAATAGCAAATGGCATACATGTACATTGAACATGGGATTGATGTACTGTAACAGTTGGCATTCATTCACCAGGCAGGATTTTCACATTCAGAAACATACTTCATTGGCTTTGAGTTTCAAGGTACATATAGATACATGAACATTTGTAATATTTTTGTCAAACGTAATCAAAAAAGGACAGATGACTTACATGTACACTAGGATCATACAGCATACCGGTATGTACTAGTACATACATGTACATGAAGCAAGATGTTCGATAGAAAGTTGGAAAGTGGCTTACGCAAGGCGAACATTTGGTGGAACACGTACATGTACATGGTGAATTACATGTATTCCTGTTATTGATTTGACAATTTGAGGTTGTCAGTGTTAGCCTCAACTCCCAATGTTCGTGTTTCTTTGCTTAGGACATTCCTGTATCTTTCACTGCACAGGAAACTAGAAGGCAGGTTCTTTTTCCTTCAGACTTTATTGTCAGGTGTGATGCCAATTACAAACTATTTGAGGGGACGGGAGGAGGGAATGTAAAAAAAACACCAAACTGAAGTGCGTCCAAGTACGGGGTCTGCCGTATCAGTGCAGTCCCTACGCTGACTCGCGCGTGTGCTGTGTTCCCACGTTAAACTGAACTGGCTCTCTACAAAAATGCAGTTTGACACTACTGAACTTTACGTAGATTTCCAACAAAAATGAATACCACAAGTGACAAGAAATAAATGCCACAAGTGACGATAATCGACAGTAAACCTGGCAGCATTTTTCTCTGATAAAATTACGCTTAAAAAACCTCCTGCTTGTCAAGCTTGTCCACTCATCATACTCATGAAAATTCAAGTTTTCAACAATTCAATGATAAAGCTACTTTTGCACAGTAAAGTGCCAACAGAGAATATGACGGTACGGAACCTGGTGAAAAGAATGTGTAACATTACGCAGACACCTGAACATGAAAGGCAGAAGTGGGTGAACCATGTACATGTAGACAGGGAAAATCAGTAACCGGGGTTGGACGCCAGTCTTCGTTACATTACGACTGCCGTCCAAGTTCTAAGACTTTTGTATAATACAACCCACAATTCTGTAGTAATTTGCTCTTGGTTTACCTAGTTGAAAGAGCTCATTTCACATTTACATGTTCCCTACATGTATGTCCTTATTCATCTGGCTGGGGGGTGAAGGAATTCTAGAAAGAACCATGGACAGCAAAATTGAGGAAAATATACTCAGGGACAACATTACTGTTTTTCATGGTTGTAGATGTCCTTCACCCATTCTTGGGTTGTAAAGTGCAGGCATCTACAGGAACCTGAGATGCATGCACGCACTATGCGCGTGCGATTTCCAGTGAAGCACTTTTTAACACCTGCTACATGGAAGCCGTGCCTGGTACCCGGCTAACCCAACCAATGTTATCAAACTTCCAGTACCATTTTTTTGTAGGGTTGAAGGCTTCAAACTGACTGGTAACACCATACCGGTACCCCTAAAAATGTACATGTAAATTTTGTTCAGCTTTACATTTGGGTCCATAAAGTCAAAGTTGCAAAACAACCTGCTATTTTCATTGCAATAACCTTGATCAGCATAGCAGGCTCCATAAGTATGCAACATGCTTATAATGGGAATAACGGTTATCATTGATCTCTCTTTGAAGTGCTTAATTTGTTTGTAGATTTTTATTAATTAAATTGTTTAACTACATAATGTTGTAGAGCTGTAATTTCCATCACATGAAACAGTAACATGTTTTGATAAGTGAGGAATAAAAAAAGGATTACATTGCAGCCACGATGATTGTAATGAACGGGTGGGGTCGATGCTCATAGATCGGCAACAGTTGCAGACATGGCACAGGCAGTGTGCCACGCATATGCAGTATGTAGCCATCATGCAAAAAGTTGTGCTGTTGATCGGCCTTTCAGTTTTAACCCGTAACCAAACAGCACATTATAATAAGCAAAAATGAACTTGTAATCGGCAGTGATGAGTTGAATGTTAGAGCAGCAGACAGATAGCTGGACTGTGTTGACTGTTAAAGAAATCGCCAGGCGAGTGGACCTAATGCATATGGATTTGGGGGGAAAAGGAACATGCTCCCTCTTTGAACTGACGTACTTGATGCTAAGCAGCTGCAAACTTTCATGACAAAAATATAATTATACAATCAGTTCTCTGAGTTATCTTATTGCCGAGCTTTCAGAACTGGGTTCCTTCGTCAGTTACCAAAAGCTTGGCAATGAGATAATTCAGAGCACTGATTGTATAATTATATTTTTGTCAACATTCCTATCACGGAGCTACACAGCCCATTCATATTTCGCAAACTTTCATGAAATATTTTTGGTGTCCCCTGTAATCATTAGTAGTGCCTTCTGACTTTTTGTCAACGTTTTTCTGTGAAGAAATGTCTCTAAACATCTTTGTCAGTGGGCTTAAAATTCATTTGCTTGTTTGGAGAGATTGAACTGAGTTTATGGTAAGGCTTGAGCTGTCCGGATATCGGGTAATGGATCCCCTAACAATACGTGTGACCTTTCAAAAAGTCAATAAATCTGAAAGATAATATGTGATTTTTCATTTTAAAGTTAAAGCACAAGAGATCCTGGTTAATCACTATTATTGACTCTCATAAGGGTAATTCCAGAAATTGGGGCTCCAAAAGTGTGACATTTCTGAGTCCCTGTTACACTGACCTTTGTTATTTGACATGAATGTGTTCTGAACTTACAAGATCATGTTACGTGTCACAGGGACATGAAAAAAATGGACCCCAAATTTCTAAAATTACCCATATATTCCGAACAGTCTTGTTCATAAAATATCTAATTCTGCCTGTGCACTTGGAAAGTTCTCTGGCCCTCAAAATTGTATTCGGTATGTATCTTTTCAAATTGACAAACTCAACAAATATAAGTCCTTCAATCACAAGTAACAGTAATTTGCCAAGCCTTGCTGGATAATGCCAGTCCCTTAAACTTTTATCAAATTTTACGCACAACTTTTGTCAGTCTTTTGTTTTAAGTCCACCTGTTGACACATGAAGGCTTGTTATGTACATGTAGGCCTAACTATTGCAAATAGGGCCTAGGATTTGTATAAATCCTAAATTTCACGTTCCACGCAGTAGACTTAGTACACGTGAAGGCACATAGGCCTACCATCACCAACGCATGCAACAGCCTTGCCCACAATGTTGCACATGCTCAGGACTGACAATCACACTGCACCTGCTGCCTAATGTGTATGAAGCTCAGGTTCTTGTACGCCAAATAGTTGCCCGCGCACATTGTATGAACTAGAGAATGGCTGAAAACAGGCCAAGTATTAGTGTTACTTCTGATTTTCCTGTTTTTGTCCTTTGTTGTGATGTGTCAAATTTCTCAACCCACCAGCTGGATAGATTAGGGCACATAGGATTTGTAGACATGAAATTAGCTTCTTTATAAAGCCTTAGCAAGCTTAGTGTTGAAAATAGTTCTGAGCATGCTGAAAGGAAAGAGTTCCAAATAACATGAATATGGAAAACACTTGATGCCCCTGTCGTGTGCACAAACCTAATAGTACGAGACTTGTCTGAAAAAAAACCTTAACATGCTTAGTGTTTTCTAACATGTCTAAGTAAACGCTTCAGAATTCTTAGCTAAATTTCACACTTTATATTTTAGGACATGTTATAGGCCCAACATGTAACTTTCTGATCAATGGCTTGATACGCTTTAGCCTTAGGCCCTACGGCTTCTCAGCTTATAACAGGTAGGCCTAGGCTATAATTACATTTTACATGTTTTAAGGGAATATAAGTGTCGTCCGTATATGGAACTCTTTCGTTATAAAATTTGTCGCCCTTTTTAGATCATTCATATCCCTCACTCCCTCCATAACATCTTCCACGTATACGGTCAGGGAGTCCACCTGGGTTAGGCCTAGCACTGGTTAGGCAAATCACCAACCTGTCGCGCGGGTCAACCCACGACGTCTTTCTCGTGTTGTGGTCGATGAAGTAAATCTTCCCGTCGTAATCCCTGGCCTCTTCCCATCCAGCCGGCAGTGGCAATTGTCCATTTCGAATTCTTGACATGGCTGCTGCTGGAATAAGCCCATGGTATGCTGGAAATTACCGAGTTAAATCCGCCAGCAACGCGTCGCCGCCGCGTAGTGTCTCACCATGTCTACAGACGACGCCATCTTGAATATTTCAAGGCAGGAACTTTGCGAAGAATCGATTCCCGACTATTCGAGATTAGACTCAAGTACGAAGGAATCGAAAAATTTTTCAAAAAGTTTATACACTAAAACATCAAAGCGGCGCTTTACGATCTTTGCTAAAATTTGATCTAAAATGAACTTGTACGTGCAATCTCATAAGTAATGCCTTTACGTGCAATTGCCAGAGAAATTAAAATAAGGATTATTTCATTGTTCACCAGGCCCTTTTCAGCCACCGTGCTTATACATTACCCCCAGGATTGTGGGGTCCGACGTCCGCCCCGCTCCGTTCATGGGTTAATTACAAGTTACACATAATTTGGATGTATACGCTTGGTGTCACAAAATGCTAAAATCACCTCTTGATCCACATCCCAAGTGTGCTGGTGTATAACATCCGTACAAAGAGAAGCAAGTCATTCCAAAACCATTCCCAAATTAACGGGAAGTGAATTATGAAAAGTGGTGAAGCTTCACTTTGATGTGTAGGCCGCTACTTGTCTCAGAGCTTACAGTCGCGGTATCAAGTTCTGAAATTTTTCTTTGAGAGCATTTATTGTTAGTGCCGTTACAAGTTTATTTGATGGTTGGTTTACAGCCTTTAAATTTACTCCCATGTATGCCGTCAATCGTCAGCACTGTGTCACATTGCGAAAATGAAAGAAACAGTGAAGTTACAAATCTGCATATGATACACTCTTGACCAAACCGACTCCCAACCGCAATTGTGGTATCCTACGGTGGTTTCTAAGGGACATGGTAGAAAAAATGTATATTGTCGGACAACGCACTTTGTTGAAGGAACAACAAATTTCTGTGGAGGGAACAACAAATTTTGTTGAGCGAGGACCGTTTGTTGAGCGTTTCCCGTGCTTAAGGATTAAAGGGCCCATACAGTATCTTTTGAAAAGGGAGATTGTTAGGCCTCCAGAATGGGGAGATTGTGTATTTCACCAGTATCAACTCCCTGAGTCTTTGAACTTTCGTTTTAGAGCAGAATAGCTAAAAGTACGGTTGAAATGATCCTAAGTACAAGAGAAAGTTGAGGATAGCCACTTGAAAAATGTCTGCAAGCAGACTTCGGTTTTTGGAGGGTGGTTTTGTTTTGTGGGAATCACTAAAAATGTAATCAGTTAACCCACAGAAACTTGAAAAGAAATTGAAAGATTAGGGACCAGACAATAATTTAATTTGTGTTTCAGAAACCTCGGAGATGTTACTATGCGTGTTATTGGGCCCTGAACAACACCGACTTTACACTATTTTCAATGGGGATTGAGTTCATGGGACTAAACCCCTTGTCTCTTTGTGTTGTCTGCAGTATATCAGTGTCTATTTTCATAGAACAAACTTCGTTGTTCCCTCAACAAAATTTCCTTGTTCCCCAACAAAGTGCGTTGGCCGACAATATATATTTTCCTACCATGTCCTTTTAAAACCACCGTAGCATCCCGCTTTTCGCGTTCGCAGTTTATACCGAAGTGCGCCCTCTCGAAGCACATTCAATTTAGACACGAACAAATTTAAAAATTTGCCGCATCCTCTGATAAATCAAATCCCACTAATATCCATATACAAGTACAGTGGGTAATAGTTTCGGTAGATTGTCTCCTACATATACCTTCAGTTATATTTCCTTATTGTGAGTGCTAACTATTGTATGCAACAAAATTAAGTTACGGAATGCATGACCGCCATCTACGTTCTCCATCCGCTCCCCAGTACTTCGCGGAAAATGTTCACACATTTTCGTCATTCAGAACCCTGTTTTTCGTGTTCGTCCAACATAACACGAGAACAGTGCGTTTGGAAGTATAAATACAGCGAGCTTCTGGAACCCTCGTACAGCCCGAAAGTTGACCTCAGGAAACGCCATTCTGGAACCCTTTTATAGGAAACTTAAGGGGCCACGATTTTAGAATTTCCATTTTTTTTTGTTCGTTTACTTCTTAAAAATCGCACCGAAAAGGCCGTTGAATTTGCAATCAGATTAGTTTACAGAAACGACTGCAGGTAGGTAAACCTTTACAACCTTGTACCATCTTTTTTAAGCCCATGAAGTGAAAACAAACGTGCTTAAACAAAGAGACCTAGGAACGATATTGCAAGAAAGTGAAAGGTCCTTCATGATTTTTTTTAAATTTAAACATCTCCAGGTGACTTTTCCAACATATCACTTTAGGAACACGATGGTAAATTTCCAACACGAGTTGTTTTCAGAGTGGTTTCAGTGGGGAATCGTTCTTGCAAAAATTATCAAACGTAATAGAGCCTGCAGAAAGTTGACCCCTGATGGCGCGCTTCCAGAACCCTTGGAAAGGAAAAATAACGTGCAAAGATTTTAGAATTTGTAATATTTTTCCGTTCAGTTACTTCTTAAAAAATCCAACTCGGAAAAGGGGCTTTGGAAAATATTTGCTAGTACATCAACTTATAGATACTGAAAAATTACCTGACCTAAAAGAGAAATATCCTGTCCCAAACTGACCCATCACTGCCGAAAATCTAAAATACATGAAAAACAGTCTATATGGCGGTCTCGTACGCAGATGAGCATTTTACGGTTTGAAATTTTATTGTGGTCTGTCAGTAAAAGCCATAATAAAACAAATCATAATATTTGTAATCAACTCTCTTATTTAATAATAATAAAGTTAAGGCAATAATCTACTTTTACGAAAGATTCTAATATTTTATCTACCTTTTGCTGAAAACAGCTGCGTGGTATCAACCCAACGGAATCTGCAACCCATCGGCTGCAGGTAGGCAACTCTTTGCAACGTTTTACATGTACAATCTCGTTTTCACGTAAGTACGTACGGGGAGTGAAAACAAACGTGCATGAACAAGGAGACCTGGGTATCGCAGGACGTGATTAAAGGTTGTTCATGAAATTCGTTTTTTACCCATCTCAAGCTGACTTTTCCCAAGTATTATTTGAGGAATGCAAAGGTAAAATTCCAATATGAGTGTTTCATGGGTTCAGTTAGGAATTATTCCTCCAAACTTATCGAACGTGAAATCCCTGGCGGACCGCGCGAGGGTTCCGGAAGGTCGCTGCGTGACCTTTTATCACTGTCAGGCTGAAAAAAACGTTAATAAATAAATAAGCCCACGCAGTCCACGTCCGTTTGCACACGATTGGTGGCGCTGTTCTGCTTGGTCATTACGTCTGGGCAACGCGCGCGTAACGCCAACGAGCGAAGTCAGTAGTCTAGTCTGTATTTGTGATAGTCTTTGCCCAAGACGTCAGTGATCGATAGTTGTTTAATTTTGACATGTTCTTTTTCATTTTCCTTTCAATTTTTAGTGGGTTGACCAATGAATTTTCAAGAAAATTCTCACCCAAAGCAGACCCCCCAGAAATTTCACTGCCCGGAAAAGTAGCCATTTTGAAAAGGCATCCCTCTGCCTAACGGCTAAAAGAGAGCCACTTTCGGAACCAATTGCATTCAAATTGCTCAGAATTGGAAGCCCCGGAGTCCGGGCCAATGGTTCAGTGCCATATTTCTTCAATTCCCCAAGTCCATGGCTCTCAGGACCCTGAAAAAAAAAGAATATTTTGATATTATTTTGTGTATAACTTTTTATTAATGACTCTGCTGACATTTTCTGGTCTACTTACGTGGGTGCACCAATATTCTCGATCGAGTTCACTATCGACTTCTGCCGTTTTGGCCCAAGACGAGTGGTGGACGGACGCGTGCGATGGACAAGACCAAGGACTGCAAGATGGATAACTCGGCCAAAACGTGTCATCACTACGGGTGCCAATCGAGTGTGAACGTTAACGCATACGCACAGGCATACCAGGTGTGCATGCCTGTTGTGGCGCCTGCGCCTATTGCATTAACACAGTATTCCTAACCAAATGGTGCTAATGCAATAACGTTTTACGTGTATTTCATGGTGAAGTTCTCCATCTTCGCGGCGCTTTAAGATCTTCGGACTAGACTGGACTTCTGTTGGCAGACTTTCCGCTGACTACAGGCCTAGTACTGGAACAAATGACGTGAATAAAAAAAAAGAGACATACTGTTTTATACTGAAACAATTCGTCAACCTAGCTCTTCAGTTCTTTATTCGTAAATTCCAACAAAAAGTTACTAGGCATAAAACTGCACGGAATTTATAAGCACTGTGTCTGGAACCAATGTTCCGTGAACGGAACCCGGCTCAGCCCACAATACAATCTATCCCATTATTAAAGCATAACGTTAAAAAGGCGTCATACACAGTACACTACATGCTATGTGTGTGACAGCAAAATTTCCCCTTAAAATGCCGTAACCTATCATTGTACCATTGTGTGATTTATATCTTTTTAAATTCCGATGTAAAAATTAAAGAAAACGTTAATTATGACACTTCATAAGTGTTTGTTTCCTATTCACAAAAATATACATTTTTATGGGAAAAAATATGTACAATACTTGTACCAGATGTCTTGTACAGTGACATTATTTCGAAGTCGTTTCCCAAGTTTTACTAAAACTATTACTCCAGTTTTCTCAATTAAAAACGTCCTCTACAATTTCTGATAGCTTTTGCGTTTGAGGAATCTGGTAAATACAAAACCCAGTTATGTCAGCATATCAACAAGCTTTGATTTTACAAAGCAAGTTCTGTTTTAGCATGTTTACATTGTTGAGAATTTTTGGGTTAACAAAATCCACGTCCCTCAGAAAATAATTCATTACTTTGTTTCAGAGAAAAGGTATCTGACTATAATATGGTTGCCCACACACAGCAGTGATGGCACTTGGCTTGAATGTCATGAACAGTGATACACTGATCATTATTTTGTAGTAGCCAAAGCCAACTACTTGTCAATGAAGTTAAACTACACAAGACTCAAAAGTAGTTTCCATCAATTCCTAAAAAAAACCCCCAATTTTTTGTCTATTGCACCATTTAAAGAAAGTTACAGTGTTCATGGTGGCATTTTAACTTCTCAACCAAATAACTTAAAAACAGGAAGGGAAAATAAGTTTGGACAATTGCTAATAACGGAAACAAAAGTACTTGAAGCCATTTTTTTTTTGTCAATGTTAACGAGACGTTACAAATTATGCTACAAAGGAATTACCAAACATGGGTTCAGTCTCACAATTCAGTTTGATTTCTGCATCCAGAAGCATTTCACAGCCCTTGCCTTTGAAACAAATCACTCTGAATTCAGGAACGTGTGCTCCGTGAAAATGGGCCTCTAGATGAAGTCCTCCAAAATCTCGACCTAACACTCTCAGATAACGACGGCAGAAAAACCACAGTTTCACAACAACTCAGAAAACTCAGAAACTGAATGTTCTTTTGGCACTAAAAATGTCTTTCCAAATACATGTACCAGCTAAAAAAGTTACCAACACAAGTTAATGTACAAAGTCATGAAATGGAAACCGTTAAAAGCTTTCAAATGGTCTTCTGTGCTACACTTTCCTGAAGTACTTCAAACCAGGTTTCCAACTTATCAATATTATTACAGATTAGGTGTTGTTTCAATTTGGAAACAAACAGTACTGCTTGGAGAAAAAAAATCAAAAGCAACACAAAAACTTTCAACCGCGTTGTATTGTTGAAAACACTTCATTCACAGAGGCAGCACATTTAGTTTACTCTACGGCTGCTTGATGTGGCAAGACACCCATATTTGGTCTGTTTTTCTTCCTGATAAGCACAGAAATAAAGCTTTTCCACTGAACAACTCTGAATTATGCGACTCTCTAGTGAAAGAGAAATCCCCTTATGCTTAGATATAAACACGGAATATTCACACCAATATGTTTTACTTTTTTCCATCCAAATTTGCATTATCAGTCATACATCAATGAAAAAGGAAAAAAAAAATTTGGTATTAATTACTGGATATCACTGGATAACTAATCTTTGGTTGTGATTTCTATAAACACTGAGAATAAATTACTCATTTAAATACATGAAACTTTTCGCAAACATCTAGTATAAAAAAGGATCTAGTATGCATAATTTAATATAATCTTGCCTGAATTTGAGTTTTCAAGCAAGCAAGCAAACGTTTTGGGGTCAGCCTCTTGAAACACCGAGTAAATTTGGTGCATAGCCTTTCCTAGAAATAAATGAAAAAAAAAAAATCCTTTCAAGTCACTGCACTGAAAATCACAGACATGTATGCTATTCAAACTTTTGTTCAAATCATTCTTGTTGTGGGGAATGCCATCATTTTGTGATACTTTTCGGAAAACGACCTCGTGCTCAGGATTCTCTTCAAAGAACGCAAAATTACATCAGTGTGGTCCATGCGGTTGGAAAACGTACTCGCACGTGAATCGAAACACGTACAGACTCAACTAAGGACAGTACTCGGGCTGTCCCTGTTTGATTCAGGGAGTACAAAATGGCAATATTTGTTACAATGTTGGGAGGAAAAAACAGAGGGGCAGTGGAAGGTTCATTTTTGAAAAGCTGCATAACAAAATTACCCCCAAAACATGTAAATATTTTCTACCACAATAAACCAATTACAGCCAAAGGTTCCATTGGATATGTACAAAGCAATTTCACCGAGTGACATTCTAATGCCAGGCAGCTCTCACACACATCAGAATGCTGCTGACCTCATTTCACGCTAAGCACGTAAAACCCTGCTTAGCGTATTTACACTGTAAGCAGATATCAGGGAATACCATTCACAAATTGCATGCTATCACCCTTTAGTTTCTGGGTATCAGCAAAGTAGTACGCTTAGCGGGCTCTCAGCTGGAAGATGATTAGGCATGCCCAACACAGTGAAGGAATGAAGTACAAAACGCACACACACGCAAACACCCTGTTCACAATTAGCCCATAGGATAATATTGTGGACAAACTCATATGACACGTCAAACAGATACAAGATGATATATATATATATAGTTATATATTTACACCAAAACGTGATTGGCAATACATGTACATACTTTACTCTGGGACAGAAAAAAAAAAACAAGCTTAGTGCCTTCTGCTTGGTTCTCTCTGCATGAATATAATTCTTGAAACGTGGAATACCAAAGTTTACAGTGGTTACGATTGAAATGAGAGAGTAGAACAAAACGTGACAAAACACTTTACTCTTCTCCAATTACCTAACCATCCTTTGTGGTTTACTTTTCGGCTGTTGTATCAGGCGTGCTGTGCTCGGCACATGAGCTCAACACACGAATCTGTACAATATCGCTTCTTGGTGAGATGCAACTTGAAGGAAGTTTATTGAAGAAACACTAAAACCCCAGAAATGAAAATTAAAGCACGTCTACTGTGGCTTCCAAAAGAGAACCAACAAAATTCTTTGGATGTTACGCCTATTAAGAGAAGAGAATCTTCAGGCACCAGATGACAGAAAAATCTCAATGACAAAAATCTGCAGTATTAAAAGAACATCGGCAAGGCTTTGACACACTTTGCACACATAGCTTACATTACAAATACATGAAAACGCAGACCTCCTTGAAGATTAAATGAAGAAACTCTATACTTTTTCCCGTTGCACCATGTAGGCACAATGTTTTTGTTTTGTTACAAACTTGTTAATGTTTACTGTAAAATTTACAGCTGTCTCTCTTACTACATGAAAGGTAAGCTGGGCCATCTGCCTGCCAGTCAAAACCCTCTAGAGGGCGCTACACTTAATTCAAGTCATTTGTTTAGTGCTGCCTTGGAAGCACAGCACACTTGGAATGATTTGTTCAAAGCAGAGTCTGCCTGATGCCCACAATAGAATATCTACAACCCCCCCCAAAAAAAGAAAGCACCAAGTCAACTCATTTGCCACCCCACTGGAGTTCCATCGGGGAAGAAAAATCATGCTCAGAAAGGCTAATCTCTGATTGGCCGGGAGACATTTGTGAGTCCCTGCATCCATTCCAATCACGCGGCTCAGCCAAATTATTCCTTTAATAGCCTCAGACGTTGACATAGGTCACATGTTGCGGGAAGGACTGTCAGCATGGCACCGTTTTCTCACAAGAAAGCATTGGCAGAATTGTCTCAGTTGTGTAGCAGCCGCCAACACGACCGGGTCCTCAGATCCATTCATCTGACCAAAATGGGCACGTCTCGCCCGCCGCATCAGCTGGCCTGGGCCCCACTCTGTGACCCCTCGCCCTCTGGCCCGCCCTCCCCCTTCAGGCTCTCCCTCAGCGCCTGCAGCTGCTCCTCCCCCAGGGCAATGCGGTCATCCAGCTCCTGGGCCGTGATGCGCTGCCGGGACCGCATGGGCACAAAGTGGCAGAAGTCCTCGTACTCCTCAGGGCTCAGGTGGTCCTGCAGCATGCTGCTGATCTGGACGTGCCGGGCATCGATGCTCTTTTTCAGCCCCTTGGCGTCCTCGTACTTGCCCATCAAATCCTCATGCATTTTCTGAAGATCGGGCTACATGAAACAAGAGCGGTGCAAACAATTATTAACATTATGAACTGCACGATTAAAGTTGCTGAAAATGAACAAGTACATGAAAGACCATAACGGATATATACACAGGGTGAAGTTTAAAATGAGATGTACCTTACCAATTAAATATTAAAACTAAGGTTTAGTCTGGGACGACAAAAGACCAGAAATTGGATTCCCGAGCCAAGGCTGGAATGTTACATATAACTCGGCAATCTCACGGCCAATTTTAGGTTCTTTCCCTTGAGCCATTCTTGATAACTAACTGAAAATATGCCGAGTCTCTCTCACCTTTTGTTCTTCCTCATCGTTGCCTTCCAGCCTGTCCAGCACGCTGTTCACCTTGGCCAGACGGCGCGACAGCGAGAGGAGCAGCTTTGTGACTCTGTCCGCATCGCCCACATACATCAGGTACTTGTCCACGTTGCTGGTCTTGCAGGACTTCCTCACATTTTCTGTGACTTGCCTGGTGGGGAAAATAGCATGAAGCACAGTGAGCGATAGTTGAGTGACACTTACCAACAAGGCTTGACAACCAGGCATTCACATCGGACGGGGTAGGTCTTAGCCCATTTTGGTGGCAACATGACGGCAACTGATCTGGTTTTTATGTTAGCCCACGAAACAGCCAATAACATGCATAAACAATTACTGTGTACATTCTGATCAAGTACTGGTGCCCAAACATATCTGTCATTGGTGATTACACAGTAATCACAAGACACTGTCCCTTTTTCATGAGAAAAAAAAGCAAGAACAGGCCAAACGCAATGAACAAACCTGCTCCTCAATGTTTGCCCCGATGGCTGACCTCAGAAGCAACTATTGCCAACATTCACTCTGATTCCTCATGTTATGTGTATAAAAAAGGGCAAACATTCCCCACACTGTAGCTCTGGTGAATGCCTCAGAAGTTCGCCCATAATGACCGACTTGGCCCTGATAGAGTACCCTTTTGCTCATTGGCTGGAAGAAACAATTGTAACCTAAGGTCTTGTTGCTGGGCAACGCTGTCATCTTTCCCGACTGCTTGGATCATCATGGCCACTAAAACTCCACTGAGTGCATGTGCACTAACCTGCCAAGGTCCTCAATGTTGCTCATCTCCTTCAGGAGTTCTTCCTTCTCCTTTCTCAGGTCCGAGACCTTCCGGGCCAATCTGCTGATGAGCTCCTCCTGGCAAACAAACGAGATGACCCCAAATTAATCAACTGTGACCTGACAGCCTGCCTGAACAACCTGAAACTAGACAAGTTTAGGCGTCTAGTTTCTCTGGTTAATGCAAAGAGTAGATGAGCACGAATACAACTACAGAAAAAAAAAACCACAATGACAGTACCCTAATTTTGACCTAAAGCAGCAAGCGTCTGAACTGGACAAAAAATCAATTGCTGCTATCGATCAAGACCAAGCCATACATGCAAACCAATTGCTGGCTATGGTTGTGGAAAATGTTTGATCCAGGAAGTGATATATGATGCCATGTACAGCAACGGTCGACATTGTCACAAATTCAGTTAAAAGCACAACCAACAAACCATCGACAATGGTGTTACTGAAGAAGGTAGACATACCTTGCTTTCAATCATTTTTGGACAATCCCTTTACCTCCCAAGCTGTTGCTTAATCCAAATTTAAAAGTATTTCTGAACTGGGCTGTCAACGGTGAGTATGCGGTGATGGCCCAGACAGGTATGCCGACCAGTGTGTCCCGGACTGGCCTTTTTATCGCGAGCGACAACAAACAATGGGAAGGACTGCGGTGGACAGTTTCACACGCACATTCTACTTTCTGTGACCCTGACTTTACAAGCGGCATCGCCGTCGAGATGAGGTTTCACTGATAAAAACCCATCAACAGGAAAAAGGATTTCTGGTGCCGTCACTCAAGTGTTGCCCGGTGAAAAGACGTAATCGCATAAACAAAGCCCCCTGCATGAGTGACTCATACGTCTACACCGGGTTTCTGTTTGTTTCCTCCCCTGCTGCCTTAGTAGGGAAAGGTAATTAGGTCACTGTTCTTTCAGTGTCAACTACGCCGAACTTTCAGTACACGGTGAAGTATACTTGTACAAGGGCACTTCTACACTTTGACATCTAGTCAACTTCCTGGGTCACGAATACCAACAGTCTACTGTAATGTCTCAAAGAAAATCTGCCCCCTGTACAGGGAGTGAGAGATGACGCCGTGAAGGGATTTTTTTTATAATGTATACAATTCACAGTACTATCATTTCAGTTGAGATCAAACTGTTGTGTGGTTTGCTCCGATTTATGAAGAGAGAGTGCTGGATTTTGAGAATGATTCGTATGACTCAGTATTGCAAATGTCTTCCTGACTTTAAGACCAATTATTCAATCTTAACTCCCTACAACTGCCAGGAATTTCCAACATTTTCAAAATGCAAACAATTCTGCAATGGGTTTGCACAATTCTGTAGTGAACCGATAGAATTCATATCAACAGTGTTTGGAGACACACCGCTGCATGCCATTCCCTTATCTACTGCACAGTGTGAAGTACCAACAATCGTGTTTTCTGAAAACTTCAATTTGTCTTTTACTGGATCCTTATGGGCCGCAGTCTGCTTCATGGACACAAACCTTGGTCTTCCTGAGCTCTTCGCTGTCTCCCTGCACCACTTCGCTGGGGCCGCTCATGCTCTTGGCCCTCGTCAGCAGCAGGGCCTTGGCTGGCGAGATCTGGAGATACATGGAGCTGGACAGGGCGTGAGTCAGTGACTTGACGTCACACTCAGACCTGAGGACACAACAAGGAGATGATTTGGTGGGCAAAAATCAGGTAAACATTTTGCAGTTCTATTTTTGCGGGGTAATGCACTGACAAAAAAAACATGCTCTTGACTCTGCTTCCAAATAGTTCCATGACACTGAATAATTAGTTTAATATATGAGAGTGAGATACCGGTATATAGGTCTTTAGTATGGTGGCCCTGGAGGGACATTGCCAATCGTCAATATTGACGATTGGCAATGTCCCTCCAGGGCCACCATAGTTTAGTGATTACAAAAAAGGATGGAACCAAAAACAGCTTTTAAAGTACATCATTGTAACAACATGATATGCAGGTGTTGTTCAAATAAAAAGAAATCTATTCTAGGAAAACCTTAAAACTGTTTCAGTTTTGATAGCTGAAATGTTTAGGGTAAACAATGGCTACAAACAGTCTCAGTTTTTTTCTGTGAAGAGATGTATCTTTGGTTTCCTATCTATTCAATGCCCTGAAACATGACTTCCATTTTGTCACTGTCCACGATGTCTGGCCGGAAATATGGACCCCGACTACCCCAACACATCCAAGTAAATTATGTTTTATGCAAATGCTGTCTCTGGACAGATATGTGTTACAAAGCTTTTCAGCTGGAGTGTAACATGTGTGTCTGAGGCAAAATGCCTTGTTACAAAAAATGTTTATGTACCTCTTAGGTGTCTGGGCTTCTTCCTTCTTCTCGTGCGGCATCTGCTCCTCTGTCAGTGCCCCTGGCCTTTGGGGCTCTTCTGGAAACTTGAACAGCTCTCTGAGAGCAACGTCCTGGGGATTGAGTGAGTGGAGGACCCAGTCCACTAAGGGATCCTGGGAGTGCTCCCGGGCACTCCCCGGCAGGTCGCGCTCGCCCCGCTTTGGCGAGAGGGTTGGGGTGTGGACAATCTCGATGACCTCAATGGGTTTGGCCTCATCCTCCAGGCCCAAGTCAAGTGGGGGCCGCCCGCGGCCGACAGGGCTGATCCTCGAAAGCGAGGACGGTGTGCTGCTCCTGGTCAGGATGTCGGCTTCCTCTGCTCGGTTGTCGAGGCTGGGGGACACTCTCACCTCCCTCTTGGGTGTCTCTGATCTTGGTCTGACCTCTTGGTCGATGTCAGGGTTGGTGAATGCTGACCTTTCCTCGGTTGAGTCTACCGAATTGGGGCTGGACGTGCGAGATGAGGCAGAGGGGGAGGAGGCGTGGTCTATTTGGGACTCTGGGCGGCTCACTGCGGCATGGATTTGGGCAGCTCTCCTGAAATGAAATTGAGACAAATTTTTTAAAGCAATACTGTGGATTTTGTTTCTCTTCTTAATGCACTGAATGCCCGTTGGATTAGCTTGACCAAGAGCCCTCTCGTCGTCAACTTGAAGAAAACCAATCAAGTAGCTATCACTGAAGGCTAATGAAAGCTTACAATGAACCAAGAACTGAAAACAAACACGGCACTTTATAAAAGGTCAAACTGACCAAGTACAACACATTGCTAACTGCCAAGTCAGACAAGGATTGGCTCAAACAACAATTCCAATGTACTGAACACACACAGAATGGTGTGTTTGGTAGTGTTCACAAGGAAAAAAAATGACGCGGGCACTGAGGTCCATGTACACACCTGTTGCAATTACTGGCCATCCTGAACAGCATACAGAACCAGTGGTACACTGCAGTGATTACATGTGTACATATGATACACAATATACATGTCTGTATCGACACCCTGCCTGATTTGAATTTCATTAACAACAGGAAAACTGGGGATATTTTTTTAACCATATGATTCAATGGCACATGAACTGATGCCCATGGTCATTTGGCAGCTGCTCCAATGAGAGAAATACTTCCAATGTATATATACATGTGTCCTAATAGCTTTAGGATATGGGATTAATGCCAACTGGACCGCAACATAAAGCCAAAATGAAACCAGGAAGTAAGTGCATGCCGGGCCTGGCATTGAATTCAAACACAGAATTAATATAATGGCCTTACTGTGGCTAAACTGGATGCCCAAACCCCCAAAATGTGTCTGACAAGGAAAGCCAGGAAAACCCACCGAAATCTGAACCGGGCCATTTAGATGCAATGTACACACACACACACGCACATGGGTATATCTGGCTGACAAGTTAAAGTTGTCATATAAACTGTAAGATTGGAAAATCATTTTGAAACAAACCAAAAAACGATCACTGACGATGACTCTGTGAAGAAGTGCACATCATGCAATGGCAGTTTAACACAGTACATGTAATATCACACCGGTTGGTCTGGCTGATACTAACATTGAACTTTTTTGTCCAATTGTGAACAATGTTTCTGTGTCCTTGAGAAGGGATTGGAATGAGTGCAGGCCAAAAGCAAACAAACAAAAACATGAAAATAGGAAAGAAACCGCAAATGCGGCAGGATGTGTGTGTCATGCTCTTGCCACTGCATAGTCCCTCCAAATTTGAAAATGAATGGCATGATGCGTGACGACATGACGGTCGCCGAGGTGCAGTAAGTCATTGTCTTGTGGGAAAATTTTCGGATCGACTCGTGGGAAAAATTCAAGCTCTTGGTGGAAAATTGCCAAGCATTAGACCGGCAAATCAGGCGGCTGGCCTTTGAAAAGGCACATGCAGAATAATGCAACACTGGGAACCGATGAACGATGAAGAGATTTTAACCTAAAAAACTATATTGGGGAACTAACAATCTTCTGCAAAATACCATGAAATTGGGGTGAGTGGAAAATTTATGCACATGTAACATGCCCTTGACCACCGGAAATTACATTTAAAATTGCCCCTGTTCACAAGCATTTGTTTAAACAGACATGGCGCATAGGCCTGTGCAGTAATCCTATAGGGCCTACATGTAGCACATTCTCGGCATTGATGAAAAACAGGTCATTGAGCCCCTGTGGGAGGGAAACCGGATCATCTGGGGCCTACAGACCTGAAATTTGTCAAAATCGCACAACATCCATTGATGGGTTTTGTCAGATGCGGGATGGCAAGGATTGACAGAGAATGATGCAGCTGTATAAAAATCGAACATATATCAAGAACTGGCTGGCAATGCATGTATGTCAATGACCTCCTAAGCTGTCCAAAACTTTCCAAAGGCACTGGGCCCAAGAAGAGCACATCTGCCATCCTGCCACTTGGAGAAGTTGCTCTGTCTTCAAATTAAAACAAACATTTCAGGCAGGAAGGATCATTTCAACTTTCCCATCCTGCGCATCGACCCCTGCCAAGATCACAATTGCAAACAGTTTCACATGAACGCTACAGTCAACCACAACCACTTCCTTGTTCCCAGCCTGCGGAGCAAAAACTTGAATAAAGACGCCAACAGTCTAATGCAGACAGTTTCCAGACACTCAGTCATACATGCAAATGTCGCACAACAGAATATTTACTGATCTTTCAAGGGTAAAACCAACAGGAAATTGTTTGGCTTTGCCCACAGAGGAAAGTAATGATATGTTAATTTTTTGCATCACTGACCAACTATTACGTTTGCTTTCACTCCCTAATTGGACTTCATAGGTCTTCACCAAATATCCAGATGTGAAAATGACACAATTCAGGCTTGTATAGGCTAGGGGGGTTTGGGGGGTTCAAACAAACCCCCCCCCGCACGCTTCTGAGTTCCGCTTGTTGGTGGTCTTTTTTTTGTGCGTACTGAATATTTCAAATATACTGTAATATTCGGCATACAAGCCACGGCTTATACTGGTACATGTACGTTGATTCTCAAGCTCAAGGTGACCACGATTCTGCATATTAATGAGTCCATCTCCAGTCATATGCACTGTCACTAGTGTCAGGAAGTTCCGGCAAATATCCATATTTCAGGTGTCTCAAAGGGTATGAAATCAATGTATTTTTGTTAATTTTATTCAATACTGAAAACTACTGTGTACAAGTTTTACATGCAACTTTTGGTTCATGACAGACAGGCAACTTTTCAATGTTGTATTCCAAAGCTCATAGTGATAGGCCTTTGTATAAAAATGTGTTCACAGTGCCAAACGTTTCACTTTTTGGTTTGATGAACCCCCCTCGTCTCGGGTCAGGCAACGGGCCTGCAATTTTCTTAAATTTTGCTTTTCTCCGTTCCGTATTTGGCACCAGAAAGTGACTACTTGAGTGCAGGTGTACAGTGAGAGTATAGCGAGACCAGCCAACTTTGCCTGCTGCTGTCCTGCTGATCCTGGCAACTATTTGATGCTGCAGGCCAAAAAATTCAATCAATCAACCAATCCACAGGTGTGTTCCCAATTTTCTAATTTTCTGTTTTTTCAGAACAAGAGAGAAAAAAATACAGGTCAGACCCTCTTGAGAAGCTATTTGAACCTGAAAATGTGGAATATGCGGAAACACTGGCACTGACCAACCTACTGTGGGGTTTCAAGCTTCCACGCACGGAATTCTGCTCGGTGAAGAACACAACTTATTTCCACAACAGAAATGGGGATACCAGCAAAACTCGGCTGTGTGCTACCCACTGCTCGGAAATTTATTGCCCACGGCTGCAAAGGAAAGTATTTGCTGAGTGCAGAAGAATGTTTGCCAGGTAAAAGACAGTAAGCAGTCTGCTTACCAACAGTTCCCAGCCTTTTTTTATGCTCAGCACATACGGGGCCATTTGCTATTAAAGTGGTAACTACACCCTCCCCAGTTCTTTGGAATGTGGCCCCAGTGGGAGCCATGGATATAAATGTGGGGAGCATACAGCCCAGTAGTAAGTGGATGACAGGGTAGGGTCCCAAGAAAGGAGGAAGTTCATGGGAGGGGAGAACTGATAAACAACCTGCTGTACCCTGAATGTCCACAGCACAGGGCATTCACAGGATGATGGCCTATATCTCGGGGTTGAGAAATGTCACGCCTGTGCAAAAAAAGTTACATCATGTACAGATGCAAAGCAAATATGGAACTGGTTGTGAAATGATTGATGACATCGTCCACAATGATCGCTGGTCTAGCACCTTTGCACCAAAGCTTTGACTGTGTGTGATTTTTCCATGTACATGTAACAGCATACGATAAGCATCCTGGAACAAAATGTAAAAGAAATCATGAAAAATGTCTTCTTGACAGGTACAATCACAAACTACATGTGCACATGAAAAATACACTAGTGCCCAAAAGTAGAGTGCTGTATCAAACTTGTGACCTTTGCCTGGCCGTGTCACAACTAATTTCTGACATGTTTCCTCAAGAACCCGGCTCGCTGGGACTGAATTCTATTCAGATCACACTCTAAGCTGCGCAAACACTCCCACAGCAATTGTAAAATATTGATTGCCCCTGCTTGTCACATCTCTACACGGGCAGCCGCTGTCTTGCCCTATTCTCCTCAGCGACCTTTGGGAGGGGGGCATGTTTTTACATGCCAGGGCGGTGTGATCAAGTGAATGCTGATTGCCTTAAGACCATAGGGAATCAAATAACAAGGCAAGAGCAGTTTAGCATGCACATTTCCAGCCTTCAACGCCTTCAACTTCAGGCTTCCTTTGCAGTGAAAATATTTACAACTGGACAAATGAATCATGTAGAGTTGGAAGTGTACTTTACAACAATTGAAACGTCTGACCGAAATCACGCCAAACACGCAATTTTCTGCAGCTCAACTACAAACATATTCCTCTGATATCAACTAATTTTCAGCAAATCTTGGCTTTTCCATGAAGCATGATGTTGCGTTTCATTCTACAATGTGAAATCCATTCTTGCAAATTGAAGCAAAACACAGATGCCCATGTCGTACAGGCCACGTGTTGCTGTACTCACCAATTTTCATAAATAATTGACACTGACAGACATCCATCAAATCCCACATCATTACTTTCCAACATGTCTTGGACTCTGAGCTCCCAAAATAGTCCCTTTTCTGCTGTTCATGCCTTATGGCCTTTTATACACCTGTGATATGCACTATTCTCTTTGTGCGGATGTTGACACGCCTACTCAGAAACCACATCGGGGCAAGAAAATGGGCCAGTGAGTGGCTGTCAAAATATATCAGACCGCAGTCAGTAAAAATCCAACAAATAAGATCCCCTAATCATAACCTTACTGCAGATGGTTTCTGCATGAGCCTCATACCAGCCCGTTTCCTGTGCTATTTTAATGCATCTGACAGTCTGGTAACTCCATCATATCTTCTGCATAATGGCCATAAATCACACACCTGGCTAATCCTAAGTGACCAGACCAAAGGACTGGTCCTTCCCAAAATGATGAGAAAACCAGAAG